TTTTTTTTTTGAGTTAGTCGACATTTTCTTAAGAAAACAGAAATTCATTGAATTTTCCAAAATTTAATATGACCATCTTGTGAACCACTTATTAAAAAATCAGTTACTGTTACAATAACATGTGTAACGATATCTCTATGCATATAAGATCTTTCATAATAATGACTTGATGGTAAAAATGATGCATAAAAATTATCTAATTGTGATGAACCTTGACTTTTTTCTTTTGGATTTAATTCAATATTTGAATTTGATGAAAATTCATTAATTAATTCTTTTTCAACATGTTCTTCATCTCGACGAATCCGTTTTGATGTTGTTGCAGATGAACTACGAACATAATCAGATTCGACTCTTTTACGATCATTATTTTTATCTTCATCGTCTCGATGAAATTTTTCCGACATTTTTCTTTTTTTACGATAAATAATTCTATCAATGAAGACAAAGAAAGAGATTTCTAAATAATATTTATTAAAATGAAATATTATACATCTTATCCAATCAAATCTATCTCAGATAAAACTAACAAAAGAGGACACTAGTTTATTACTATTCATTTTATACAAACAAATCATTTTCATATCACAATTTATTAAAAAGTTAAATTTGGAAAAATTCAATGAATTTCTGTTTTCTTAAGAAAATGTCGACTAACTCAAAAAAAAAACTATACTTTATCTTCTTTACAATATCGTTTCTACACCATGAAATATTTTTAGGTCTGATATATTAAACAAAGATATGATCTAATGTTTTAGTTGGTCCACATTCGATGTGATCGGAAAGAATATTTTATTGTTTTATTTTTTTTTTTCATTTCGTCATATTTCTTTTTTTTTTTGACGACATCAATGACTTAACTATAGACATGAAGAGAGTGAAATATTCGAGGGTATGACTACGTTATATTCCAGGAATGATCACATCTTTTTCTCTCTTGTTTTCTCTTAGTCAAATACAAACGAAAACTTAGTGGCGTAATCAGATGGGGGCTAGAGAGGGCTCAGCCCCCTCTACGGAGGCTTGAGTCCCCTCTACAAGTTTTTTAAAATTTGTTATGATCAAAAAAGTAATTATTTAAAGAATGAAGAATTGTGTATTTAACTTTTTCATGATCGAATATAGAAAGGTAGTGAATGACTCCTTTTTCTTGGAACAGTTTGATACTTTCCACGAAGAAGCACGTAATAATTAGTGTATTAATCAGAACAGCCTCAAACTTCAAAATTACATACGCAAAAGAATACTCAGTTTAATTACTCGGTCGTAATAGGATAGATGCTGCAGAGAGGGATGATCATA